TTTCCCCCTAAACCATATACAATGTTGTAAACCTATGTTACCTCAATAAGAAACACAAACAAATCTGTTTATAGATGAGGTAATAGTACTGTATCATTATCTTCCTACTTTTGATCCTTGTAGGGTAATTTGCACAAAAAAGTCCTTCTTTTTAGCAAAAGCATACAGGTATATTTAGAAACAAAGTATCACTGTGTTTATAAAAGAAATACACCTAGGATGTCTCTGAAATAAGTTAACAAGTAATGGATGTTTCAAAGCAAATACATTCTAGGCCAGGGGTCAGCAAACTTCTCTGTATGGGTAAAAGAGCAAATACATTAGGCTTTGGTGTGTGGTCTCTCACAATTATCAACTCTATGGAAGTGCAAAAGCAGCCATACACAATACAAAAAAGAGTAAATGTGACTGTTCCAATAAAACTTTATGGACAAAATTAGTCAGCAGGATAAGATTTGGTCCATGAGTCAAAATTTGCTAATCCCTTTTTTAGACATACACAATTAACAAATCTCTTTGCCCAACCATTAAACTACAAAATGTTACTCACCAATGACACTCTTAGCAAATGATGTGCGCATTAAGGTGGCTAGTCCTAAGTCACCAATCTTCACAGATCCAGTGGGTCCCGTGATGAAAATATTGTCACACTTCAGATCCCGGTGAATAATAGGAGGAGTCCTAGTGTGCAAGAACTGCAACCCCTTTAAAATTTGCCTGCACCAGCTCCTTAAGACCTTTGGTTTCATGACTTTAAATCGCTTTAAGTACCTATACAAAGAAACAAAAGACCACACGTAAACCTACATATCTTTCTTATTATATGAGCACTAACGGTAAATCAAGTAAGCTACGTTGATATTGTATGTATTACAATTGCCATCACTGAGTTGCTTTATGTTGTCTTCTATAGTGAAAAAACTTTAAATCTAAGACCTCATTCTTACCTAGAAAAGATATTCGACCAAGTTTAACATTTTAAATTCAAAATAAGAATCATTACAATTAGAGTGACCTTTTGTAGAATGGCAGCACAATTTTAAAATGAAAGCTCTTTTCTACATCCTAATAACTGCTTATAAATCACCAAAGAGTTTAACTATGTAAAATTTTAGTACAAAGATGCTAGGAAACAGAAAACATATATACCCTACATTTAAGAGTTACAAATAAGTGATTATACTACCTAATGAAAAACTGTAGTCAGAAATGAAGCAACAGACTATAACTATATAGTTATAGTACTGCTCACTGGATATGTGAAACTGGCCATACACCACCCTTTCATTATCTTTTACAAAATGACATTATCTCTATAGATTTCTAATTCTAAAATTCTATAATATACAACAAATATTAATTTCTAAACATTGTGTTTTCTAACAAAAAAAAACTTCATTAATATCCTAATTTTTTATTCTGCCCTGAAACACAGATTTAGATTCTACAAAATCTTTAATCAACAGCTTTTTTAACTCTTGAAAATTATTTACAACTAAAACTCCATCAGGGCTATCAGGATCAACTTACGTCTTTAAGGTTCCTGATGTCATAAGTTCAGTCACTAATACAATACATTTCTTTCCTTTTAAAATCGATTCCCAGGAATCATAAAATCGAACAATATTGGGATGTTGGAGACCTTTCAACATCTCTGCTTCTTCCTTGAACCTTTGTTGCTCAGCTTTGGTTAATTTCCGGTCCTGAAATAGAGGAACAATTTCCAAACTAAAGTCTAGAAATTTTCAGTACATTTCTAACATCACTCAAATGAGTGTTTTATTGTATTTATTTCTGTATATATTATTTTTGTCTAATAATTTTTTACTCAGGACTTACATATGCACTCATGCCTTTTGTTACTTACTTTGACTGTTCTCACATAGCAACAGCAGCAGTTGTTACATTTCATAACTATGTTATAAATTCACCTGTATAAATCAATATATGGAAAGCAGTATCTCAGGTGTTAATTAAAATTTTCATCTTACTCATTTCCCAGTATATACATACATCAAATCATAATGTTGTACACCTTAAACTTTATACATTTTTATGTCAATTATATCAGTAAAGCTAGAAAGATAAAAAAATAAAATTTCCTTTGCTGAGAAAGAAAAACAGATCTCAAAATGAGAAAAATAATCAAAAGAAATAATAAAAAAGTTTACCTAAGAAATCCTGGAATTTCCACATCTAGAGAATCTATAATGTCTTGGCAGGAATAATCAAAATGTTCTTCACATAAGACATTTATTCTTGTTAAATAGCTGCATTGCCAACATATTTTTAAACAAAAATATAAAGTTACCAACTAGTGAAAGACTTTCAAACAAATTGGACCCTTAAGGCCTCCCTGGTGGCACAAGGGGTTAAGCATCTTGCTATGAAGCAATCCGCAGCCTCTGCAGCATGAGTTCAATCCCAGGGCAGCCAGGGAGAAACCTACATGGTGCAGCAGACCTCTTTTGTCTCACCCGCCGCTCCCTTCAGCAGTGTACTTCAGTCAATCTGCCTGTTCTGTTCCCTACTCTGTCTCTGGTGAATCCTCTCACCCCCCGCATCTCTGGCCTATACCCTAGCTCTTGTATGCATAAATAAATAAATATTTAAAAAAAAGAAAAAGAAATTGGACCACTAATCTGCTACATTAAATGCTGTAAGTCAAAGGAGCAATGCGTACACAATTCTGAGGGATGACTGTGACCCTAATGCTCTGATATGTTGCAGATATGCTATCAATTAAGTTTATGAGGGGAAAATATACAGATTTCCATGAAAACAAGAACACAGAAAGTGTGTCATGCCATACACTCTTAAAATTTAACTCAAAGAAGAAAAAGGAACTCTCCTGCACTGTTGGTGGAAGTGCAAACTGGTCCAACCACTATGGAGAGCTGTGTGGAGATTTCTGGACCTACTAAACATAGAGCTTCCATATGATCCAGCAATTCCATTCCTAGGTATTTACCCAAAGGGCACAGAAACATCAATTCCAAAGAGCACCTGCACCCCTATGTTTATAGCAGCACTGTTTACAATAGCTAAGCTTTGGAAACAACCCAAATGCCCAAAAATAGAGGACTGGATCAAGAAGATGTGGTACATATACACCATGGAATATTGCTCAGCATTCAAAAAAGATAAACACATGCAATTTGCAGCAACATGGATGGCGCTGGAAGGGATCATGCTCAGCGAAATAAACCAGAAAGAAAAAGAACAATACCGGATGGTCTCGCTCATAGCAGGAATCTAGAAAACTTAAATAAGGGACCAGGAAAAAGAATAACTATAAGAAAGAAAATATCAAAATCGACAAACTATGAACCAGAGACACTCTATGGCAGGTAGGGGGCGGGGAAAGGAGGGCTTGGGGTCAAAATAAGGGGGTTGTAATTGTATGGGGAATATAAAAAATAAAAAAAAAAGATGCAACCTACGAAGCTATCCTCAGGAAAAATAAAAAATTAACTCAAAGAATTTCAATTAAAGATGTGGTCAAAGAACCAAAAAGGGGGGGGTCAGGGAAAAAAATAATAACAATAAAAATCAAAACAAAACAAAACAAATTAACAGGCAACTATAAATCAGAGACATTCTTCAGGGGAGGAGGAGGGAGAGGGATCAAAACAAGGGCAGGACGAGCATATGGGACTATGGTGATGGTGCACTTGTGAATTGGTAGTGGGAATTCTATGGGGACTACACCTGAGAAAAGAAAGCAAGCATTGTACAAAAATGAACAATGATGTAAAATATATATAACTTTAAAAAATGTGATCAAATAAAATCATTATAAAAGTAGAGTGTAGCAAACAATAAACAATAAGAAACTACTTAAGATATAGCTTACTTAAGAGTAAGCCATAAAATTCTGGAATAATTCATTAAAATCTAATAAAAAAGAAAGAATAAAAAACTTTGTCTTTGGTAAGGGGAGCAGAACAAAAGGAAGTGATGAAACTATTTTAAGTTTTGATGTTGATAGAGAAATATATAGCATGCTAGTTAAAAATTTAGGTATGCAAAGTGGGAGTGGGAGGATGTAAAGGGTGTAGTCCAATGGACTATGGTGGAGTTTTATGGGTGTCTTGATAGTGGTTGTGGTGTGGTAACAACACCTGAAGGGTGTGATCCTATACCTCTGAATCACATACAGTCTTGCAAGCTAGTGTGACCTCAATAAAAGGGGAAAAAAATTAGCTACCGATTTCCATTTCAGGATGGTTGACAACTTATTAAATTAATTCCCCTCCCTTCCTAAAACCTACCAAAAAGACAAAATATAAACCCAGAGTAGTGATGGAAATACGAGGATTCAAACAAAAGATCTGAACCTTTATCAGGTTGAAAGGGTTCCATTCTGTTCCAAGTTTGCTGAGTTTTTATCACAAATGGATATCGAATTTCTTCAACTGCTTTTTCTACATCTATTGAAATGATCATATTTTGCCTTCTATAATCTGTTAATAAATCAAATTACATATTGCCAGAGTTGATGTGCTAATGTGATGTTGAATGTTTTTTCCTCTATGTTGATAAGGGATATTAGTCTGGAGTTTTCTTGCAATGTCTTTATCTGGTTTGATATCAAGTGGGTGGTCTCTGGCTTGACTCTTGCTCTACTGCCTTGGGCAATCATTAACTCTGAAAAAGTTAGTATACAAATGAAGGCTTGGGCCTCTACTTTGTCTTTCTATCCCTTCTAATTTTCTCTTCAGGGATTTTCTAGAGTGATCTCTTTCCAAATGTTTACACTACTTATCTTCCTAAAACATCCACAACAATTTTGAAAATAATGGTAATAATAGTCATCACTAACTTTCATTGATTTTAATAAAAAAAGCTTTATTATTTTGTAGCTTAGAATGTTTACATAGTTTTTTTTGTTTTTTGCAAATATAACAGGTTGAAGTAATTACCTTATATTCCTGTTTTACTTTTGTTTTAAAATTAGGAGTGGCTGCCAAATTTTATCAAATGTTTTCTCAGCACCCACTGATATAATTACATGGCTTACTGATGGGTTCCTGATATAGAGCCATTCTTAAAATCTTAAAACAAAGCCTACCTAATTGTAATATATTATTCTTTTCACCCACTGATGAATTTTATTTGTGAGTTTTTACTAATGATTTTAACATCTACATTCACACTTGAGATTAACCTATAGTTTTTCTTTAATGCAGCACATAGGATTTGGTATTAGATTATAATGGTTTTATGAAATCAAATGGGATTAAGTAGTTTTAACATTGGAATCACATGCCATTTAAAGGTTACCTAAAAATCAAGCTCTGAATCCACTTACTCCTGATGCTTTTTCTCTTTTTAAACTGTAAAAAAATGCAGGTGTAAAGATTAAGGTAATTTAAGATTAAGGTTCAGCTTAAGTGAACTTCAACTTTTTGCCATGGTTGCTTCAAATTTAATAAGACATTAAAGATATAGCTGATGTCCCCTAGGTATCCCTTTCCTTGATCCTATCCTTTTCTTCCCTTCCCAGAAGTAACCATTATCTGAACTGGGTGTTTAAGGTTTTGAAAGGTTTTTAAATATTTTAAATTACATGTCTGTATCCATAAGCAATATAGTTTCATAAAGTGCTAAAACTTCACATAGGTTGTTATCATAAGGTATATGTCCTTTTACAAACTATTTTGTTATTATCTATTCTTATATGTATAATTTTTCAACTCAGTATTTAAAATGTTTCATACTATAATGCTGGGGAAAATTTGTTGTCAGAGTTGCACCTCATATTATTTCTAATTATTTTACTCTTTTCCAGAGTATGGTGACATTTCATTTCTCATTTTTCTTTCACATATTTTTACCCTCTTATGTCTTCATCAGATCTACCCTCTTATGTCTTCATCTTAATCATTTTTCAGAGAGCCGAAAAAACAGAATTTATCTTACTAATATGTTTACATTTTTGATTAATTTTATTTTTATTAATTGCCTCTTATTTTCTTTTGTTATTTCCCTAATTTCTTAAGACAAGTATTTTCCTTCTAGCTATTGTTCATCAATAAATAAGACATTTTAAAGTGTCTTTTACCATCATTGTGTACCCAGAACTCCATAATGAAGATATTTTAGGTGATAAATTTCCTTCACAGTATAGATTTTGCAATGATCCACAAAGTTTTTTGTAATATCTTCTCTCTTTCATTGCTTTCTAAGTAGTCTATAATTTCAGTTTTGATTTTCTCCTTGATCTAAAATTTATCTAGGAGTGTGACTTCTGATCTCCAATCAATTAAAAACCTTTTGTTTATTATTTATTTTCAACTTTTTTGAGTGATGCAGAATATAAAATCTCTTTTCTTTAGCTTAAGGTTTTCTTTGGGACACATATTTAACGAACTTTTTCAATGACTTATAGACTATTTAAAATATATAAGGTTCTACATACCCACCAAACAGATTCTGTGGATTATATAATCCAAGTCCTCTATATTCATTCATATTTAGTCTGGCAGATCTGTTCTATTGTGAAAGAAATGCACCCCAAATTTCTTACAAATTGCTATATATTCATCCAGTTTCCCTGAATCTATCAGTGACTCTGAGTTTAAAATACTAGCCAGCATATTTTTGGTGCTTATAGGTCTTTATCTTCTTAACCTGTGAAATAAACAAAAATAACTTCATAATATCCTATCTAATGCTTTGACTTTACTTTCTTCCTCCT